AAAAACATAAGCTCCTGGGAGTTGTGGCCTCACTTGGTAGTATTTTTCCCAGGGCTGCCATAGTATCTTACGTTGCCTGGTTACTCCTTAAGTTTTAAAAGGAATTGTTCCTTGGATCTCAGGTGATAGGTACATTCATTCATTCATTTATTCACTCAATAAATATTTTCTGAGCACCATATATGTGCCAGGTACTTTTCAAATGCACAGTGAGCAAAACAGACAAAATTCCTGCTCTCATGGAGTTTATATTCTGATTTAATTGGTTTGGGGTAAGGCCTGGACACTGTTTTTTAAATTTTATTTATTTATTGAAGTATAGTTGATTAACAATGTTGTATTAGTTTCTGGTGTACAGCAAAGTGATTCAGTTATACATATATTCTTTTTCAGATTTTTTTCTGTTATAGTTTATTATAAGATATTTAATATAGTTCCCTGTGCTCTACAGTAAGACTTCGTTATTTATCTATTTTATATATAATAGTTTGTATGTGCTAATCCTAAATTCCTAATTTATTCTTCTCCTCACCCCTTTTCTCTTTGATAACCACAAGTTTGTTTTCTATTTCTGTGAGTCTGTTTCTGTTTTGTAAATAAGTTCATTTGTATCAGTTTTTTAGATTCCACATATAAGTGATATCATATATTTGTCTTTCTCTGACTTACTTCATATAGTATGATAAGCTCAAGGTCCATCCATGTTGCTTTTTCATTTTTTATGGCTGAGTAATATTCATGTGTGTGTGTGTACACCACAACTTCTTTATCTAGTCATTTATTGATGGACACTTAGGTTGCTCCTGTGTCTTGACTATTGTAAATAGTGCTGCTATGAACATGTATCTTTTCAAATTAGAATTTTCTCTGGATATATGTCCAGGAGTGGGATTGCTGGATCATATAACTCTATTTTTAGTTTTACAAGGAACCTCCACACTGTTCTCCATAGTGGCTGCACCAATTTACATTCCCACCAACTGCATAGGAGGGTTCCCTTTTCTCCACACCCTCTCCAGCATTTATTATTTGTAGACTTTTTTTTTTTTTGAGTAGGGGAGGTAATTAGGCTTATTTATTTATTTTTTAAAGGAGGTACTGGGGATTGAACCCAGGACCTTGTGCATGCTAAACATGCACTCTACTGCCTGAGCTATACCCTCCCCTCCCCCTCTGTAGACTTTTTGATGATGGCCATTCTGACTGGTGTGAGGTGATACCTCATTGTGGTTTTGATTTGCATTTCTCTGATAAAAAGCGATATTGAGCATCTTTTCATGTGCCTGCTGGCCATCTGTATGTCTTCTTTGGAGAAATGTCTTTTTAGGTCTTCTGCCCATTTTTTGATTGGGTTGTTTGTGTTTTTGATATCGAGCTGCATGTGCTGTTTATATATTTTGGAAATTAAGCCCTTTAGGCACTGGTATTTTAAAAAAAACCTCTCCAGATGATTCTAATGTACGGCTAGGTTTGAGAATCACAGTTATAAGTGAAGCACTTTGGGAATTGCAAGGCATTGCAAAAGTGAAATGTGGCTATTAGTGTTCCTTCACTACTCCTCCATTTTCCTACCTGCATCAGACCGTTGTATAAGTGCTGGTCATTTTCTTTTCAGCCCTTTCACTATATGCCTAGATTCCTTCTCTCTCTTTGTAACCCAACACCCTACCTCCTTCCTGTCTTTCACCTTTCAGTCCATCATCTGTTGCCTGAGTAATCTTACTAAAGCACAGCCATGACCATGTCACCCCTTGACTTAAAAGCCATGCATGGATCCTCTTTGCCTGCAGACTATCTCCAAATCACTGTCCAGAATCTGGCCTCACCTTCATCTCCTATTGCTTCCTTACCTGAATCTTACTCATTCAAGTGGTGGCTCCCATGCAAGTTGCATAAAGGAATTGTCGTCCTTTACTGGGTAAGCGAGGGAGTGGGGTAGTCATTTGCTCTATAACCAGATTTGACGTGTGGCACAGCACTTTAAATGCAGTTTGTCTTTGGATAGAGCTCTTCTGTGGCTGAGTGTGAACTGTATCATAACTCTTGTTGCCCCTTGGCCTGTTAACTTCTTTTTATAACAAACACTAAGCACCTACTTTTTGGCCAGATTGTGTGTTTGTGGTGAGGATCTAGTGATGACCAGGCACTCTGCTTGCCTTCACCTTATGATGAGTGAGGCAGATTGACAGTTGCTCTTGTGATTACAAGAATATGTTCCATGCCAGGACAAGAGCAAACTCAGAGGAGGAGCCCTTACCCTGTGTTTGGGGGATGTGGGTCAGGGAAGGCTTCTTGGAGTAGATGACATCAGTACTGAGGTTCTGAAAGGCCAGTGGAAGTCATCTAGGAGGAGGAATAGGAGTGTGGCTGTTAGGCAGGGCAAACTCGTTTGGAGACTCCAGACAGAGAGAGCAAGCCAGTTTGGGGAACTAGAAATACTTCAAATTAGCTGACGCTTGGTAGGGGTAGTTAAGAGGGCAGAGGGCAAGTGATGAAGGATGGGGCTTCCATGGAAGGCAGGGAGCAGATCTAGTTTGTTATGTTAGAGCTTAAGACTTAATTCTAAGGGCAGTGGGGAAGGTTTTGGGGAATGAGAATATCATGTTCTGATTTGTATTCAGGAAGACACCTCTGCCTGCTGGAAGGGGCATGGATTGGACATGATGGGTCTGGACAGACTGGCTTAGAGGCTGTTGCCATGGTTCAGTTGATAGACGGTGACAGTGGCAAAAACCATGAAACTCCTTGAGGTCAAGAGCTTAATTCTTTCCATTTCTTTACCTTCAGCACCTCACATATTGCCTTGACCTTCAAAGAAGTGGTAGATGTTTATTGATATAACAATAGACTTAAAGTGTGTTGAAGGTGTAAAAACCTGATAATGAGAGCAGTTAACACTCATTAAGCCCTTACGGTGTGCTGAGAAATGTTGTGCATCAGAAAATTGACTCTTCACAGCATCCTACCTGACATAGATTTATTGGAGCCTCATATTCCACAGGGAGAAGCTGTGCCTTGACTGGGTTAATTAACCTGCCCAGGCAGGGGCTCAATAAATGTCTACTGAATGAATAATTGAAGACGGAGGATGAGGCATAGGAGAGAAGATCATGACATTGTTTTGTACATATTTAGTGGAAGATGCCCTTAATACATCCCAGTGGGGATGTGTTTTGAATGGTTGGTGTGAGATTTGGAGGTCACCGTGGCCAATATTTTAAGCCATGGGAGTGAATAAATTTGCGGGGGAGAATGAATGGAATTAGGAGGGAAGAAGGCCCAGGTCTAACGAGGAACCTCAGCATGTGAGGAGAGGAGGTGAAACCAGCAAAAGAGACTGAAAAGTAGGGGCAGACAGGTGGGAGAAAATGTGGGAGAGTGTGGGGTTGTGGGGGGGAAGCCCAGGGAGGAGAGAGATTAAGGAAGAGGGAAGGCTCAACTGTGCCATGTTCTGCTAGTGAAACAAGATTGAGGACAGGTGAGGTCTAGTAAATTAAGCAACTTTGAGGTAACTGGTGACTTTAATCAGAACAGTTTTGGTAGAGTGGTGGAGGGAGAGGTCAGGCTGGAGTGGGCTGAGGAGTAAAAGGTGGAAACAGTGTTATTACCTCTGAGAAGAGCATCCTTGGCTGGCTTCGTGATGTTTTAGAGGGGACCATTTTTGCTTGGAATAAATAAATTAATATAAACAATTATCTCTGGGACAGTGGATTTTGATGTTCTTCTTTTTAACCCTAGTTGGCTCTACTTTCAAAGTATTTTTAGAACATGACCACTTCTCACCATCTCCACAACTATCTCCCCATCCTGAGCTGCCATCATTTCACACGTCGGTGACTGAAGAGCCTTGTAACTGGGCTCCCTGTGTCTATCCTGGCCCCCAATAGTGTGCTCTTCCTATAGCAGTCACCATAATCATGGGAAAATGTGATCAGTTATACCACTCCTCTACTGAAAATCCTTCAATGGCTCCTATTTCATGAAGAGCTAATAAGCTCTGTGGAGCGTCCTACAAGGCCATACAGGATCTGACCACTGTGTCCTATCTGCTTACTGCTCTCACATACATCGTGTATCTGACTTCCACTACTCTCTTCTCCTTTCTGTGCTCCAATCACACTGGCCTCCTTACTGTTCCTCTAACACACCTGCCCCAGGGCCTTTGCACTAGCTGTTTCCTCTGCTGTGCACTCTTCCACTACATACCAACTTGGCTGATTTAGATCTTTGCTTAAATTCTCATTGAAGCCTATCTGGGCTGCTCTAAAATTTTAACCTGTCAGGGTGGGAGGGTCAGAGCAGAGGAAAAATGGGTGAAGGTGGTTGGTCAGAGGTGGCAAACTTCCAGTTGTAAGAGAAATACATTCTGGGGATGTAAGGTACAGCATGGCGATTATAGTTAGTAATATTGTATGTACATATGAAAGGTGCTAAGAGAGTAGGTCTTAAAGGTCCTCATAAGAAAAAAATGATGTGAGTTAATAAATGTTAGCTAACTATGGTAATTATTTTGTGATATATACATATGTCAAATCATTATGTTGTACACCTTAAACTAATACAATGTTACATATCAATTATATCTCAATAAAACTGGAAAAAATTTTAACCCATCCTCAGCATTTTCAGTCTCCTTTCTCCCTGCTCTTTTTTTACTCTATAGCACTACCAATTTTCCAGCATACTATATAATTTATTCATTATGTTTATTGTTTTTTGCCTGTGTTCCCCCACTGGAATGAAAACTCTATCAGAGCAGGAATCTGTCTGTTTTTTGTTTTGTTTTGTTTTTTAACTAATGTATCCCAAAAGACTGGGACAGTGACTGGCGCAGACTAGGCATTTAATAAATATTTGTTGGCTGAATGATGAGCATACATTGTTTTTATGATCAGAGAAAAGGGAAACAAAGTACTGTGTGTTGGAAGGAAGAAGGAAAGCTAGCCCTGGATAGCAGAAGAGATTTTCTCCATTTTCTGACTCTTGTTTTCCCTTTCCAGGCCGTAGCAGGGGAGGAATGATTGTGAACAACATCTCACTGTGCTACCACAACAAACTCATCTTGGCCCCTATGGTTCGGGTAGGGACTCTCCCAATGCGGCTGCTGGCTCTGGACTATGGAGCAGACATTGTGTACTGTGAGGTAAGGGGCTCCTAATTTTCCTGGAGATCTTTTCTACAAGTGAAGCCTCCCCATCTGTGGGTGGAAGTAGTCAGGATTTAGAGGAGGCAGAATGGGCTCTCACTTCACAGGTGCTCGCTAAAGGGAGAAGATAAACACTCATGACACTGAGGAGTTCCCTGAGGAGCCTGGGGAGCACGGAGGCATTGTGGGACACCTGGGTCAGGTGGATAGATGAGCATCATGTCAACCACTGCCCTGGCCCCTGTAGGAGCTTCAGTACTTAAAGCAATGAACTCAGGGTTAGGAAGAGGAGGAAAAGGACCAGATTCAGGCCAGGGAAGCTGGCTGCGGTTGGTTTGGGGAGCCATAGGATTTTCTGGTGGCAGTAGCACTTGCCGGCTGCTGTGGAGAATATTAGGACTTCAGACGTAGGTTTGGAAAGCATCTTCTAGGAAAAATAGAGTTATAGGAATACCTAATATTGGATAGGGAGTGTGAGCAGTAGTTCTCAATTGGCGATGTATCATAATTATCTGGGCAACTTCCCCCGAAATCCCCAGTCCTGATATGTCCCCCTAGTGGGTATAAGCATTAGGGGAAGCTATTCAAGTGCTTCTGATATTTTGGTCTTTAAAAGCTAGTGGTGGTGAGGTGGGGATTGTGGCTATAAAAGGGCAACACAAGAGATCCTTGTGGTGATGAAAGTATTCTGTGTCTTAACTTGATCAATGTCAGCATCCTAGTTGCAATGTTGTATCACAGTTTTGCAAGATGGGGAGAGATTGGGCAAAAGGTACATAGGATCTCACATTCTTAACAATTGTATGTGAACATCCAGTTATTTCAAAATAAAAAGTTTAATTAAAAAGAAAGCACACACAAAAAAGCACTAAAGTAGAGGGAAGGGAAAGCTTAAGAGGGGATTTGGGGAGAATATACCCTTATGTACTGGGCTTATGTGTGCGTGTGTGTGGTTGGGGTTAATGATAGAAAAGTTAAAGAGTGAGAGAAATTGGCAAATTAAGAAGAGTATAGTGTCAGGGAAGGCAAAAGTCAGGCCTTTTCACTATGTCAGACAATGCAGAGAAATCTAATTGCAAAAAGACAAAAAAGGTATTTGATTTGAAAGTTAGGTGACTGGAGGACAGCTGTGGCATGCAGATGGGAACACTTGTGGGATTAATAGGTTGAGGAATAGGCAGCAAAATGAGGAAGTAGAAATAGGGCTTGCTGACTACCCCCCAGATATTCAAGAGGTGAAGAGAGGAGGTGTACAGGCAGGTAGCTGGAGGTGAAGGGAGTTGATTTTTGGCAACTTTCTTGTTTGTACCATAAGAGGAGGGATTTAGCAATAAGGAGAGGTCTGAAGATTTGTGGGATTAGGGGGGGTTTGTAGGGCCAGGTTTGGAAGGGACAGGATTCTTGACGAAGTGGTGGTACCAGCCTCCCTCTGAGATAGGGCAAGGAGAAGAGGGGGAGGATGATGAAGAGGAGGGAAGCTGAGGGGTTTTGCCTGAGAGACTTGTTTTATAAGAAGCCAGTCTTTTGTTGGAAATAAGGGTGGCAGGAGTGGGTAGGGACCGGAGCAAAGGAAGTGAAGATGTTTTGGTCCTGTTCCCATGGGGAATGGGTAGTGGGTGGTGAGCCTCACCAGCAGGTGTGCATAGTGATACTGATTTGTAGCTTTATGGGAAGGAGAGCTGGGAAGCCTGGCAAGAGGATGCCCATGACTGGGAATTGGAATGCCAGTACCTGGGCAGGGGCAGAGGTATCTAGGGTGCTGGCCAGGTGAAATGGGAAGGAGGGAGTATGTGTTGTTTAGAGGTGGGAATCAGAAAGGGAGGTTCCAGAGTTCAGGGTCACAGAGGCCCAAGACCTAACTTTTAAGTCATTTGTTGAAGTAGAGGTGAAGAGGCCCTAATAATGTGATCTGGGCTGTTTGTGTACACCCATAAGCCTTCCAGGCTGCCAGAACATATGGAAGGCAGGGAGGAGCCTGTTCTCAGGGGCTAGTCCCAGGGGAATATGGTGGTGTGCTAAGCAGTATTAATCTGGTGACTCATCCCCTTGAGCCCACACTCTGGCTCCCGGGTGGTCAGCCTTGGGTTAGGTATAGCCTTTCTTGGCCAGCACCCTCCTCAGCCTCCAGAAAAAACCTCTTGAATTTGGAAGGGGATTGGGAGGAGGAACTGTGGGGAAACAGGGGCTCAGATTCTAAGTCTGGAGACCAAAAAAGACCAAATCCCAGAGGACAGCTGGTATCTTTCATTGGTTTTGATTCCCCTCCTCCCCAGGACGATAACAGAGAGGGACATGCTAGCTCTTCGTCCACTTAGTCCATATTTACCAATAGGGCCCTGTGGGATGACTCAGACTCAAGGATGAAGCCCCTTGCTTCTTCCCTGCTGCCCCAACACCATTTCTGTCCAGCCATACCTTCCCCATGATTGCTTCAAGGCCTAGAGTGTAGGGTGTCCCTCTCCTCTCTGCCCATGCTTTGCATACTGTCTCCATTAATTATTTGCTTATTCTGATGATATTCTTATGATGCTCCATTTCCCTTCTCTCCCTAATCTTGTGCCTTCATGAAAAATAAGAGTTGATCCATTGAGTGCTAAGCTTTTACTTTCAAATTCACTTAATATCTCCACCATGGCCATCCTACTGGTTTCTTCCATTGGACCAAGTGGTGGTTAGGGCTTCAGGCCTTTAACCAGCTCACCTGGGCTCTAACTTATTGTGGGGCAAGATTCTGAGGGTTGCTAAAATTGAGGAAAAGGCAGTAGTATTAATATATTCAGCCCCATTGGACTTCACTTCTGTGCAAGCAGCATTTTTCTGGGACCCCAGAAAGTACAGTTGTATTCACTTGAGACAATGTGGAGTGAATCACAAGGACAGAATGGAGTGTTTGCATGAGAGCACAGTGCCTGTTGCCGATAGCCTCAATGTATTTATAGCCCTGGGGGAATTGGTCTGTATGATGGGGGTCACGGAAGCTGGGTAGTGGGAAACAGAGCTGACCCACCAGGTTCCAGATGCTCCATCAGCTGCTTTGTTGAGAATTCTTAGGGTTGTTTTCAAGTACTTGGGTAGTCATGGTCCTAGGATTTATGTGATGACATCAGAAGGTGGCCCTCCTAATTGATCAAAGCTTGGTTTTCCTAATGATTGTAACTAATCCTTTCCTCCAGGGCTCTGCTTGAGTTTGGAGCAGAGGAAATTCTGATTAAAGCACTTTGTATGTTTGATGGGCACTTGCTCTGGGAGAGGCAACATGGCTTATGAACAAACTAAGAGCCTTTGCTGGAGGAGGCCTAGGCTCTTTAACCAGACCTATCTCCTGTGGAGAGCAGAGATAGGCAGGACAACTGGCCCCAGCTTGATGTGAATAGGTCACTGGGAACTGGGCCAAGTACTGTGAAGGGTACTGCCCCCTGGTGGATCCAGAGTTGCCCTGCAGTCCAGCTGTGTAGATAATTTTATATGACATGACCAATCTGTGGGATTAGATGGTCAAACCACCCCCTCCACCTCTCAGGACAGAGGGCATACCAGGCATGCAGGTACCTTCTTAAAAGCCCTGCAAAGCCCTCATTAGTTGGAGGTGAAGAAAGGATGAACCAGTTCAGCAAAAGTCAAGGGAGCAATGATCTCCTTCCCTACAAAGTTCTGTCCTATTGACAGAGTTTTCCAGGAGTTCATCAGGTCTCATGTACCTATTCCTTTTTATAAGAACAATGATGTTGGGATAACTGGACAGCTGCATGTAAATCAGTGAAGTTAGAATATTCCCTCAAACCATACACAAAAATATTAGCATAGTATCCTCAAGGTTCATCCATGAGGATACATAGTACACATCCTGTACTATGTGATAGGATTTCCTTCCATTTTTAAGCTGAACAATATTCCATTGTATGTGTACTACATTTTGCTCATCTATTCATCTGTCAGTGGACATTTGTGTTGCTTTTATCTCTTGGCTGTTTTGAATAGTGCTGCTATGAATGTAAGTGTGCAAATACCTCTTTGAGATCCTGTTTTCAATTCTTTGGGATATATATACCCAGAAGTAGGATTTGCTGGATCATGTTAGTTCTATTTTTAATTTTTTGAGGAACCTCCATATTGTTTCCCTGTGAGTTACACCATTTTATGGTCCTAACGACAGTGCAGTTTCTCCACATCTTTGCTAACACTTTTATTCTCTGTGTTTTGATAGTAGCCATGCTAATGGGTGTGAGGTGATAGCTCATTGTGGTTTTGATTTGCATTTCTCTGATGATTAGTGATGTTGAGCATGTTTTCATGTGCTTCTTTGCCAGCAGTGTATCATCTTTGAGGACATTTCAAGTCTTTTGACGAGAATGGATAACTTTTTAAAACTTAAAAAAATTCAATTTATGGAAAAAGTTGCAGGAATAGACAAAGAACATACATATACCCCTACCCAGATTGACCTATTGTCAACATTTTGCTTGATTTGTTTTATAATTTGTGCTCTCTCTAATATGTATTTTCTGCTTAACTATTTGAGAGTAAGTTTCATACACTATGACTTTTTTACTTCTCAAATACTTTATTGATATTTTCTAAGAATAAAGTCATTCTTCTGTATGATTATACAGCCATCATCTTCAGCAAATTTAATTGTTACAATACTTTTTTCTAATCTACTTTCCATATTCTGGTTTTGTCAATTGACCCAAAATTGTTCCTCCAAGCATTTTTTAACATCTTTATTGAGATATGTTTCATATAACATATAAATCACCAATGTAAAGTATATAATTCAGTGGCTTTTAGTATATCTACAGAATGTGTATCTATGCCCACAATCAATTTTTGAACATTTTCATCATACCAAAAAGAAACCTCATATGCATTAACAATCACTCCCCAACTTCTCCCTCCCCGCGTCCCTGGCAGCCACTAATCTACTTTCTGTCTCTGTGGATTTCCCTGTTTTGGACATTTCATGTAAATGGAATCATATAATATTTGGCATTTTGTGTCTGGTTTCTGTCACTTAACATAATATTTTCAAAGTTCACCCATATCATTGCCTGTATCAGTACTTCATTCCTTTTAATGACTGATTAACGGTCAGTTGCATATAGAGACGGCAATTTGTTTGTCCATTCATCAATTGATGGCCACTTGAATTATCTCTACTTTTTGGCTGTTAAGAACCATGATGCTGTGAACATGAGTGTACAAGTTTCTGTGTGGACATGTTTTCATTCCTCTTGGGTTTATATACCTAGAGTGGAATTGCTGGACCATATGGTAACTTTATGTTTAACCACTGAGGGACTGCCAGATTGTTTTCCAAAGCAACTGTACCATTTTCCATTCTCATTAGTGGTATATAAAGTTTCCAGTTTCTCCATATCCTTGCCAAGACTTATTACTTGTCTTTTTGATTATAGCCATCTTAGTGGTATCTCATTATGGTTTTGATTTACATTTCCTTAATGAATAATGATGTTGGACATTTTCCTTATGTTTATTGTCCATTTATGTATCTTTTTTGGAGAAATGTCTATTCATATCCTGTGCCCACTTTTGAGGGGGGATAATTAGGAATACCCATTTTTAAATTGAGTTGTTTGTCTTTTTATTCTAGGAGTTGTAAAGTTCTTTATGTATTCTGGATACTGGACCTTTATCAGATGTATGATTTGCAAATATTTTCTCCCATTCTGTGAGTTGTCTTTTCATTTTCTTGATAGTGTCCTTTGATGCACAAAAACTTTTAATTTTGATGAAGTCCAATTTATCTAACTTTTTCTTTTGTTGTTTGTGCTTTTGGTATCATCTCTAAGAAATTATTGCTTAGTCTAAGGTCACAAAGATTTATACCTGTGTTTTCTTCCATGAATTTTATAGCTTTGGCTCTTACATCTAGGTCTTTGATACATTTTGAATTAAGTTTTGTATATGATATGAGGTAGGAATCAAGATTCATTTTCTTGCATGTGGATATCCAGTTGTCCCAGCAGCATTTGTTAAAAAGACAATTCTAGTATATGTGCTGCCAAAGCAAGCACTAAAAAGATAATTCTTCCCCCAGTATATTGTCTTGATACCCTTGTCAAAAATCAATTGATCATAGTTATTTTGGTTTGTATCTGGATCTTGTTAGTTCTATTTTTAATTTTTTGAGGAACCATGTAATTCCCCCCTCAAAAAAATAGACTCTCAGGTCTATTCCTTTGGTCTATATGTCTATCTCTATGCCAGTTCCACACAGTCTTGATTATTGTAGTTTGGTAGTGAGTTTTGAGATTAGGAAGTGTGACTCCTCCAACTTTATTCTTCTCTTTCAAGATTGTTTTGTTTGTTCTGGGTTCCTCATGAGTTTTAGGATCAGCTTGTCAATTCTGCAAAAAAAGCAGCTAGGATTTTGACAGTATTTGTGTTGAATGTATAGATCAGTTTGGGGAATATTGCCATCTTAACAGTATTAAATCTTCCATTCCTTGAATGTGAGGTATCTTTTTATTTATTGAAGTCTTCTTGAATTTCTTTCAACAATGTTTTGTAGTTTTTAGCGTACAAGTCTTCCACCTCTTTGGTTTCTGGCCTTCATTGCTTCTTGTGAGAAATCAGTTGTTAATCTTATTGAGAGTCACTTGCACATGATAAGTCACTTCTCTTGTGCTGCTTTCAAGATCAATTGTCTTTGATTTTCAGCAGTTTGATTGCAATGTGTCTAGGTATGGATCTCTTTAAGTTTATTCTACTTGAAGTTTGTTGAGATTCTTGGATGTGTAGATTAATCTTTTTCATCAAATTTGGGAAATTTTCTGCCATTGTTTCTTCAAGTATTCTTTCTACCCCTTCTCTCTCCTTATGGAACTCCCATTATTCATCTTGGCAGTGACCCCCCTTTTTTTTTTGAGGGGGGAATTACATGGTTTATCAATCTGAGTATATTTGTGTTTCTGAAAACAAGAGATAAACCAATGATTCTTTAGCCAAGCTAGAGACTGAAAGAGTATAAGGATATGCCAGAGGTGAGGGTGGAAAGGTGGCATTGAGAGACACTGGTGATAAACTGTAAAGATCAGCTCAGACAGAGTAAGCTAGCCAAGTGGAATGGAGGAGGTAACGGTAGCAGGATATAGTTCAGATACAGGAATGTAACACATTAACAGACAAGGAAGAGTAAACCCATACATGATAAGACACTTTAAAATTAAATGCTATTCAGATATTAGGTAGCCATATGACTAAAAAGTGACTTATGAATGGGCTTAATTTTCAGATAAGTTAAAAAGCTAAGTTAATTTTAAAAAGAAGAAAAAACCAATTAAAATTATATTATTAACTATGTGATGAAGATAGATTGGGAACTAGAAGGCATTGTTTGTGGCAAAGTTGGAGTAGTCTCCTCTATAAAAATAAAATGTTATGTATGATAAAAATTGAGAAAGTGATATTGGTATCAGAAAAACATTTGTGATAATTGAGACAGAAAAACAATATCCAATTTGACCACGAATAGCCTTTTTTTCCCACACAACTTGTGTACATATAAAAGGCAGTTTGATATCAGGATGCACAGATGATAATCTCAACCACATGGGAAAACAATTTAGTTTGTTTTCACCAATTAAGAAAATACACTGAAGAAAAAATGAGGTTCTACTCTGTACCTATAGAATTAACTAGAAATGAATAAAATTTATAAACAGTAGTGTTAAGTGTGTGTGGGTGAGCAGGCGTATACTTGTGGTTTTATTGGTAACAGTTTAAATTAATTTCTCCATTTAACAAAAGCGGAGCATCTGCTGTGTGTAGGTATTGAAGCCAACTTCAGCAGATGTTTAGTGAGCACTTACAACGTGCTAGAGGCTAGTGATACGAAGATGATTGAGACTGTGTCCAGGTCCCAAAGGCTCTTTTGGTGTAGTCTGGAGACAGAAAAGAAGGTAAGATGTTTCAAGGGCCTTTTTGCCTCAGCTCCTTCCCTTGGGGCTCAGGCTACCTGGTCAGGGTCCTCAAAGCCCACCTTTGTGTGGACCGAACCCTCCTCAGGAGGTTCACTGTCTAATGGTAAAGGTACAACAGTTGCATCCATAACTAGCATACAAAGAAGCGATAAGGCTGTCAAGGTGGACTCTGCAGGGGCTTTGGGGAATCCTGAGGAGGACAAGTTACTATTGCGGGGCTGGCTTTGCTTTGCCCTGCCCATTCCCAGCTGCAGCTCAGCCTGGCTGTAGACCTTGTTTTTATAAGCACAGGCCACTAGGTGCTGCCCACTTGTCCTCTTGCCTTCTTGCCTGCCCTGCAACCAGGATCACTGGCTATGGGAGCGCTGTGTTGGGGTCTGTCTGTGCTTTGGGACACCGCACTGATTCTTGGGGCTTGAGTGCCAACCGTATATCCATACTGCTTGGAGGTAGTGATTTATTTGGTCAGGCCTGGTGAGCATCAGATACTTGATGACCTGGACACAACATGAAAAGAATAGCCAGTGAAATACCTAGAGTGCGTATTAACCTGGATGATAGATGTGGGGAGGGGCCTGTGGATGCCAGAGGGCCTGTTCGGCCACTTTAGCCCTACGTGCCACATGAGGGAGCGAAGGCCATTGTGTCCACCTGGCTGGGGTTGTGACATGCCGAGGTTCAAAGCAAGTCAGCGTGAGCCTGAGTTCCAGGGCTGAGAGTTTCTCCCTGTCTTCTTCTGGACTTCCACAACTCCTAGATGTGAGCTTCTGGGCAGTGTGATGGGTGCCTAGCCCTTCAGATTTATCTTCCACATCTGTTGAAATGACCACCAAACAAAGCAGAGCAGTCTTGTCTCCCACCAAGAGGTAGAGAATCTCAACCCTTCAGGACACATGAGCTTTCCCTTCATTTTTTCTGATCCTGATTTTGAAGAAACCCCCTTTTCCTTTCTTTCCTGAATCTGCTTGAATATCCCCAGAGCTGAGGGCCTTACCCCTTTCATTTCCTCATAGCGTGACCTGTGTTGGATAGAATTTTAAATTTTTCTTTCCTATGTTGATCTCAGGTCTTCCTCCCTGTGCTCCTGTTCAGTGGTCTCACTTTTGTCCTTGGATGTTTCCTGGGAGCCCTTCACTGCTTGCTGTTTGCATAGGGATGAGGTGGGAAGTTCTTTGAGGGGATGGGCTGGAGCTGAGACTAGTAGATGAGGAAGGTCCAGGTGTCCACATCTTAGGCTGTTGTCTTCTCTCTGACTCCCTGAGTGGCTCACCCCTTCTAGGCCCCAGACATCTCTAAGGTCCCTGGGAAGAGGAGCTCACTGACAGGAGCTGACTCAAGCCCCTGCTTGCCAGGCTTTGTTGCGGAGGACAGTACTACATATCCAAAAAGCCATGATTTGATGTTGGTAGTTGGGTGACAGGCCAGTTGACCCCCATCAGGTGTGTGATGAAGGCCTTCCCCCTATGCCTAGGGCATATATGTGTCCAGGACTGACATGTGCTGTTTGGTTCCTCTGTAGGAGCTGATCGACCTCAAGATGCTTCAGTGCAAGAGAGTTGTCAATGGTGAGTGCAACTCTGGTCCCAGGACTGTGTGTGTGCCCAATCACAGCCAAACTGTGCTACCACTGCCCTTGCCCTGGTGACAGTGTCCTCCAGGGTGCTCCTTGCCTGGCTGTGTAATTTGATGGATCACATGCTCCCTTGAGAACAGTCCCTGCTCTTCAGAGACTGTGACAAATAGCCAGATGTGAAACAGGCAGAGGATGCCTTCTACCCACAGACTTGCTAGCATGTAAATCACCAGATGTCACTGCACAGGAGGGATGCTTAGGGTCAGGATGGCTTCAGCACTGGTCCTGGTTCTGCCACTTGCTAACTGTGTCCTTAGGCAAGTCACATGACCTCTCTGTCTCAGTTCCTTTAGCTGTAAAATGAAAGTTATAATCCATGCTTTATTTAAATCATAGGATTGGAATGTGAGGATCACATAAGATAAGGTACACGTAAGTACTTCGCAAATGGAAGTGGTGAACTGTGCTGAATTGTGGTTTTGCTTATACTTTATTGATGAGGCTGATTCTGCTTTGATTAGAGTTGTGGTATTGTCTGAGGTTTTTGAAATGTATACATGTTTGTGAAATCTTAATGTAAGTTCACTAGAAGTTATGACTTAATTTTGTCTTTAATTGTTTTAGATTTATATTTTCTTTGTGTTATGAAAAATTCAATGTTATAGATGTGTACAACTTAAAAAATGAAAATCCCCCATCATCCCATACTTGAAAAATGATCACAAGGAGAAATAACATGTACTTTTTTATATGTGTAGTGAAGTGTATGTATAAAAATATGACATATTTATATATACTCTCCCCCTTATACACAGATGTGGATCATGCTACATGTTTTGCTACTTACTTTTCTGTTAGGATATTTTCCCATGTTAGTACCTATTAATGACTATGTCAGAATGGATTTCACCAGCACTTTAACAGGGGTTTCAGTATTTTGATGTTAAACATAAAACTATAGTGTAAACACTAAGTTTTTGTGGTTTTTCTCTTAGACTTCTTACTGCCAGTCATGATCAATGTGCTGTTGGGGATCACTTCAGTGACTTCTCCCCACATGTCATTGCCTTTACCCCACCTTTTTAACCTTCTAATCTGCTCAGTGCTGGGATGATACTAAAAACTTCCCTTTGTGGACGAGCTTTATGTGCATTAACGATCTCCGTTTTTGCTCAGAAAAGCCTTTGAGGTAGGTGTGTTCTCCTGTCTGCCACTTTGGGTCTCTTCCATGTGGTAGTCATCTTTGAAAGCTAGTAATGATAGTACCTACTGCAGAACTTCATTATGAAGAGCATGTGAGATTCTTGTTGTTTGCAGTAGTTACGTTCTATAAAGTTGCTGCAAACACCAAATTAGCAAATACTGAACCATTGCTCCTGGGGGAAATACAGTGTTAGATTCCTGCAAGACTTTGGTCACACTATTTCATTAACAGATCAGTACATAACCTTGTTTTATGTGTGTTTCTGTGTAAAGACACATTATTTAATATATAGTGTTGATTCATTAAACTGAACTCACAGCCAATAGCACTATGATTTCATGCCTGAATAAACAGCACTATGATTTCATGCCTTATCTAACACATGTATTTTTTCTGTAAGGCATGTCACCACCTTCTTATGCTTAGGAGCACTAGGTAGCACTTCAGCACTGTGCTAAGGGCCATTGTAGATGGTGAGATCACCAACAAAAAGCCCCAAAATGTAAAGAAAGTGGCATTAAATAAATACACCGTCGTAAAGACCCTTGTTTACAGGACGAGAGCTGAAAGAAGAAGGCAGAGCGTTACCTTGTTTGACTTCAGCTGGGTATGTGTGTGTTGGTGACTGCATATTTTGCAGTTCTATGCATGTCCGTGAATGGCCATGAAAATGCCACAAGTGTTGATTAGGGGGTTACAAATAAATTTTAGCAAGCAGGCATATTTGCAGATACACAACTGTAAATTATGAGGATTTCCTGTGATATCATAAATCTCCACTCACAATACACAATGCACATGATAGGTAAGTAATTAAGAAACAGCAACTTTGGGGGAGGGTATATAGCTCAGTGGTAGATCACATGCTTAGCATGCGTGAAGTCCTGGGTCCAATCCCCAGAACTTCCACTAAAATTAATTAATTAGTTAATTAAAACCTAATTACCTCTCCCCAAATAAAAAAAAAAAGAAATAACAACTTTGCTGCATTTCAGAATGACATCTTTTGGGAAGATTTGGACAAAATCTGAAACACAGATAAGGTTCTTCGTATGTACACTTTCTGTCAAAGTTAAAAAAATTGAGAATTGTAAACACCATACAGAGAAAGTGCATAAGACACAAGCATGCAGTTTAACAAATAACTAAAGCGAGCAGTCATGTAACTAACCACCTCTAGGTGAGAGAGTAGACCATCATCAGCACCTGAGAAGTCTCCCATGTATGCACTGATTTCTTTCAAGAATAGTATATTTCCAGCATCCCATTTTTCCCTTCAGGGTGATACTTTTCCTGTGTCTTCTTCTAGGGATTAGGCTGGGTTGAACCTGCTTCTTCACCAGGTGGCGCCATGTGTTTGTGTTTTCTTGCAGAGGTGCTCAGCACAGTGGACTTTGTTGCTCCTGACGACCGAGTGGTCTTCCGCACCTGCGAAAGAGAACAGAGCAGGGTCGTCTTCCAGATGGTACGGGATCCCAGGGCTGAGTGCATTCCCTGCTCGTGCCCCCTGCCGAGACAGTACTAAATGCCTGGGTTCCACTGCACAGTGGTCTTCAGTCTTGCTGAGGACTCTACTTTGACGGTTTTCAAAGATCTGCTCATGAGCGATTACACTGTTGAAGATGGTTTATGGAAATCAAGATCTAGCAGTCTATTATATGCTTCCAGTCTCAAATTTAATTTCCTTCATCGCAGGGATTATCTATTTGGCATGATTTATATATTTTTATTCCCTGGCATTGGCTATTCAGATCATGGTCTTTGTTTTGTGTAGTCTGTATCTATTTCCCATAAAAAGAAACGAGGTTTCCTCAAGAGTAGTTAAGATTTGTATTAGAGTTGAGTAGTGATTCTATAACTCTGTTCTCTCATTTTGGGAATTTCTTGGTCTCTTTTCAGAGATGCCTCTTGAATGATGTTTAGGTTTTTAAAAAATTGATAGCAATGAGTAGACATATGATAAAGCAAATATAGAAAAATGTTAATTGTAGAATCTAAGTGATGGGTATATGAATGTTCACACTAAAACTTTTCCAATTTTTTTTATGTTTTAAAGTAATTGCACCATTGATAACACTTTCTCAGCCCTCCAGGTCTACTTTTGGTCTCCACCAGTGAGCTAGTCTGGTGGGCTAGCTGTTAAAGAGAAAGCTAGCTGGACTTCACTTGCTGGTGTGTGTGTGTGTGTGTGTGTGTGTGTGTGTGTGGCGTGCCTGGGTGTCCTTTCTGTGCATGTGTACTTGTGTCAGGGCAGCAGTTGATGCAATCTCTTATGTTCCCAGGGGACTTCAGATGCAGAGCGAGCCCTTGCTGTGGCCAGGCTTGTGTAAGTTCTTCTCTCTTTGGGACTGCCTTTGCCTCTCCCATGGGCTGTGTGGTCTTACTATTCCTGGTGACCTTGGAGGTGACATCTTTCTGCTTCCCAGTTCTGCTTCCCAGTCCACTGCCTTCTGTTTCCTGGTTAAGAGTGTCAGGTTTCCTTCTCTATTTGTGCCGTCCAAGGCCTGCCCTGGGCCTCATGTGTACCCATTGTGTCTGGACCCCAGAGAATCTCTGAATGAGGGCCTATTTTTTAGTGTTAATTCATTTTTGATACTTTGATACTTCGCTGCTTGCTGACTGTGCGACTTTAGGTAAGTTACTTAACCTCACAGAGAACTTAGTTTCCTCATCTATAGAATAAGACCAATAGTACTACCTCCCTCTGGCATTACAGGGAAAGGTAAACGAAATGATGCATGTAAGTGTCTTGCAGTGTGTGGCACACAGTGAGCGCTTACTAAGTGCTAGCTATTGTTATTAATTACAACCAGGGTGAGAAGGAACCCAGGCAGTAGTTGCTGCTGTTTACAGACTGTTAACTGTGTATGTACCAGAAGATGAGGGACTATGTCTGAGAATTGTTTGCAGGAAGCCACCTGTGCAGCCTAGCACACAAAGACTGCCCTGCAGCTTCCACCAGAACCAGTGCCCTGGAAAAGGGCTCTTGTGCTCCTGTCACTTTTATGTATTGACAAAGGGCTTTTACCACCCAGTTAGAACTGGAACTCTGGGATCTAGTGCAGCGTGGCTGTCATTCTGCATTTGACTTACCTGATACAACTTGAAACTAGCGAAGTCCTCTACGCTAGCCCTTACCTCATGTGTGAGTGTGTTATATTCTTCCTCTGGAGCTCTGCTCAGGGGAGCCAGTTGCACATTTTAGAGACAGGATTTTTTACCTTCTGTCACTGAGGGTTGGTGTGTTTCAGAGGGCTAGGGACACTGTAAAAATTTCATGAGCTCAGACCCATGCCTTTGACTCTGTGCTACTCTCAAGTTGAGCATTTATTACCTTTTCTCCTTCATGTTTTTCCAGTGAAAATGATGTGGCTGGTATTGACGTCAACATGGGATGTCCAAAAGAGTATTCCACCAAGGTAAACTGATTTCTTTATACTTGTTACTAATACAGGGTGCAGATTAAGGGAGACTGACAGGACGTGACAATGAAGTACAGTCCCTGACTCTGTTCTAGATCCTGTACTAATGGGCAAAGTGCTCCAAAGGATATTATTAAATCTACTGGCAAGAGTAGAATATAGATTATGGTAGATTAGCTAAAATTACTGTATCAGTGTAAATATATAAAGTTGATAACTTCTGTGGTTATGTAAGACTATCCCTGTTCTTAGAAAATATACACTGAAATATTTAAAGGTCAAAGGCTATGATGTACGTAATTACCCTCAAATGGTTCAGGAAAAATTTTATATGTGCATACACATGTATACATATATATATAAATAAATACACACACAGAACACTTGTGCTCAAGTAATAAAACAAATGATGTAAATGTTAAAAGAAAGAATCATGTGAACAGGGCTTTGCCTTTTCTTGACTAAAACCAAGACACATGTTACAAAAAAATAGAGGATGTAATACGTGTGTCCCCATTGTCATCACAAGAGATCAGACATGACTGCTAGGGAAACGCAGAGAAAGGAGCAGAAAGGCAGCGCTTTAAACTAAGGATCCTGTGCGGAAATGTGGGCCTTGGTGAGGAGGTTTGGGACCCTGAAGGCGGAGGGAGGGACACAAGCAGGGACCTAGAGGCCAACATGAAGTAGAGGCAGAGAACCTTGATTTGACCAGAGGGTTGGGGAGTGGGAAACAATGAGGAAGCTGAGGAACACAGGATTGAAAATCTGGATTGGGACCAGATTAGCTGAACTTTGACTTGAGATCTCTCTGACCTTTTTTGAACAGAGAAAGCATGTGATCAGAAATGTAGTTTCCTTCCCCAAGGGGAACCAGTGTTACTGGTTTCTTGTGTATCTTTCCAAATATATTCTATATATAGAAATATTTAGACATACTAATCTGGAAGTCATGTGTCTAGTGGATTTGAGTGGATTCGAGTGGGAAGAGGCTAGAGGTCAGGACACAAGTATGGGAGATGAAGGTCTTGGGTCCACAGGAGAGACCAGAGATGGAGAGAAGAGAAGCCAAACTAGAGCAGAATTTGACAGGACTTGGCTGGCAAATGATTGGACTGGAGAGGTGGGATGAGTGGTGGTGGTAGGTGGAGGAAAGACTGGCAGCCTGGAGGACTGTTGGTCGTCAATGCCACCGGGACAGCTAGAGGAAAAGGATGTTTGGATCGGAAAACAAGGACAGCTTGGGATTGGCTGAATGTGGGGTACCAGAGGGACTCCTGCGGGGCTGTCCCTGGGAATCTTACCACAGGGTGTGAGGTCAGGGTCAGGCAGACATAGAAGATGTCCTCATGGCCCACCGCCCAGAGTCAGCCGCTCTGCTCTCAGGAGTTACTTGGCCTGGGGACCTTTGCTTTAGGCCAGGAGGCTGAAGGCTGCCTGAGGGAAAAGCCGTTTGGATGCTTGAAAACCAGAGGGCCTTCTGGACAGCTGCTTCAAGGAATTGTGGAGGTTTGAAATTGCCTGTGAGAAGTTGAGAATATCAGGTTATCTTTTGCTACCTTCTAATTACTCTTGGATGCCCCTGAGTTGCATATGGAGCAGAGTTGAAATTGTTGGAATATTCTCCCTGAGATCGTGGAGTGAAAAAAGCAAGAAACAGAATTGTATATGGTGTACCACCATTTATATATGGGGGAGGGGGAATGAATATATATATATATAACATACATATATGTTTACTTCTCTTCTCATAGAATATATTTGGAAAGACACAGAAGAAACTAGTGATACTGGTTTCCCCCAGGGAAGGAAACTAAGTTTTTATTTGGTTTTGCATAGGGACTAAATCCCCATTGCAGGGTGCTACTTAAAATAATAAATAACTGTCACAGCACTGGTATTGACAAGTCAGGACGGATACCTCCTAGTATGTCATACCAATGCATACCAGCTGAATATCGCTCTCTTCTCATAGTTCAAAAATTGAAGTCATATTAAAAAAATAAATCAAATCTCAGGGATGGAGAGTTCTTACTCTTTATCCTTTTGAACTTTTAAGATTTTTAATGTGTTACCTATTCAAAAAAGCAAATAAATAAGTTAAATAGAAAGGAAGGAAGGAAATACCAATTGAGAAAGCCATTGTTGTGGAAGGAAGGGCCAGTGAGACTGGATTTTAGATCCTGTGATTCTACAAGGAAGGGCCGGATTTCATGTGTGAGGTGAAGGACATACAGAGCCAGGGTTGAGTGGCCAGGGCTTCCTTAAGTCCTCTAAGGTTTGTAGCTGAGGGTCCAGGGCTAGGAGCTCCTCTGATCTTCTCTTTCTCCTCTGAAATGCAGGCTCAGTCTTTGCTGGTTCAGTGTTCTCTCTGGTTCTAATCTGTCACCCTTAAACATGAAATTAAACTCTAATAATAACTGAACAAAAACCTTCTGAGCATATCCTGTGAGCATTCATTAGTATACAGTCTGTATACTAATACCATATATTTATTGGATTTGTTTTTTTACATTTCCCCCTCCTCTGATTATTTAAGTAATTCATACCATTGTACAAAACTTGGATAATGTAGAAAAGTACAAAAGAAGCAGGAAAATCACCAGTAATCCCACCATCAAGGGACAACCACTGTTACTAACGTCAAGATTTAAGTGCTTCCATAGGCTGTTGGTTTCCATTAGCTGGGGCTTTTGTTAGAGTCTGACATTTGTCTGGGCGCTCAGAACTGGGTGGGCCATTGTCGTGGACAAGGGTTGCAGGTGATGTGTAGCTTTGCTGGAGGTGGTGGTGTCAAAGGAAGTGATGTTAAAGATCAGAAGAAGATGCATTTGATCTCATTTCAAAGGAAGAATGATCTATTGTTTTTTTAAGAACTTGACAGATGGTGGGGTTTAGTTTATTAAGACACTGAGACCCTGGGTAGGGAATGGGCAGTCCTGAAAATGTTTTTTTAGAACCTACTTCTAGATAGATCTGTGGGTCTTGCTAAGAGAATCGGACTGATGACATTTACAGTTCATCAAACTCTGGTCCCTGAGATTGTGGGCACAGATGCAGCTGCTTTTCTGCATGCTTAGGAGAAGTGCTGATTTTAACTTGGTCCCTTGGAGGCAAGTACTGGGGTGCTGCCAGATTGCCATACCACGGGGAGGAGCCACCCTTCTCCAGCTGTAAGAAGCCTCTCTGTGTGCTTTTCCTTAGGGTGGAATGGGAGCTGCTCTGCTGTCAGATCCTGACAAGATTGAGAAGGTAAGTCCTGCATGAGTGAAAGCAGAGGTCCTTAAACATGCCTGTGAACTTGAGTTCCCTGGAACACCTCTCCCTTCCCTTCCCCAGATTTAGGGGATCAGTCACTCCACCTGGGAGTCTGGACATATTTTTAAAGGCTTCCCAATGATTTTGACATGCAGGCAGGTTTAGGAACCCCTGAGCTAGCCTACAGCAGCCTTGGAGTTCTTAGAAGCCCAAGGCTAGGGACGTGTCAACCGAGAGCAAGGGGACCTGAGGACTCATTTAAAACCACCTCTGTATTGCCTCTCTCCCTTCTGAGAAGATCATGAGAATGTAGGCCAGGCTCTTTGTGGGTTGTGGATGGGCTCAATGGCTGTGTGTTTCAGGTGATAGGACTGGCCTTTCCTAGGGGGCTTGATGAGATAGAGTCCACCATCCGCCTTTGAGAGCAGCCAGGCTAGGGACATGTGAGGTAAGCTGAAGTTAGCCTACTCTGATCCCCTTCTCTTGATGATTCTGGTGGCCAGCTTCATGAGGCCCTGGGGACAGGTTGATGTTTGCCACCCCATGTTGTGAGCTGCCAGGGCATGTGGGAGTGACATTTTCTGCCACACCATATACACCTTTTAGTTTCTTCTTATTCCACTGGCTTTTTCCTTATCACTTCTCTTAGCTCCTTTGATTTCCTTTTCATTCTCTATCCCCATTTTCCTGTCTGGGCTTTAAGCATCCTAGTGTCTCCCACAAGGTAGAGCAACTTGGGATAAGGCACCACCCATTAGAGCTGCCTTTGCTGGGTCAGTAGCCCAACTCTGTATATTCCTCCACCCTCTACTGTCTCTGGGATCTAGGAAGACAGTGTGTTTGTAGGCTAAGCACCTTCTCATTTTTCCCATGGGCAAAAAGGCACAGGTAATGTATTTCTAATGTGCCTATAATGTATCTTTACCATTTGTAGGGTAATTTCCTTTCTAAAGTAAATCCTGTTACCTGCTCAGATCTGGGCCTGTCTTGGGGCCTTTTCCCCCACAGACTTTCACACCACAGAGACATGAGGTGTGGCTTGGATCTGGGAGAGTTGGATCCAGGAGAGGTTCAGATAGAGTGTGACCAGAAGACAAACTCCAGTTGGCCTTACCCCTCCCATGTGACTCTTGAAAGTAGCTAGGACTTTTGGTTACTAATTGCTTTCTTGGTCCTGAACATGCACATGAAATGAACAGAAATACTGAAAAAGATGCTTAGAGCTGCTTGGATAAAATACACCAAAAGGAAATTCTGCAGAACAGAGAATTGGATCAAACCAGCTGATATTTCTGAAATTACCAAACATCAGAGAATTCTAAGTCAGCACTTACAAAGGAACCTTCCAGAGATGGTACTGTCAGCCTGAGGGAAAGGATTAGTGTCTCTGTCAGAGAATTTTTTTATTGTGTATCTTGATGGATAACAATACCCACCCTCCCCTCTTAAAGGGTAGGTGCCCCTTTAAGGCCTGCCAAAGTGATCCTAGGACTTCAGGCCCAGTCAGCCTCCTGTGGCAGCACCTGGGGACAGTTCCTTCCTGCCACGCTCCGGCAGCTGTGCCTGGGCCAGCAGGCCATGTCTTGCCTATGATCTGTCTAGCTGCCTATCAACCCAGCCTCTTGGTCTGATGTCTCCTGGAGAGGCCTGCCCTAGCCTGTCCCTGAGAGAAAGGCCTCTTTCACTGGTTCTTATAATCTGGCTCTCTGCTGCCCCCACCTGTTAGAACCAAAACTGGCAGCCACTGCCTGGATGTCCCCTTGCTCTGCTGGACAGGGATCCAGTTTTTGGAAGAGGGCTCTTGGGATCACCTTCCCCTTGGCTTGCCTGGCCCGAATTTTTTGGTGAGGGAATAAGATAGTAAGGCCACAGACTTACAATGTCATCTACACTTTCTTGATCTCTGACTCTCATATGGTCTGGTTTGCTACTGACCTGACACTTTTCTGTATGACTTTCTTGATTTTTCTTTGGAGTCCTTTGCAATTACTATGCAAAATAAACACTTTTTAATATGTTGACTATGTTGTCTTTTCTGTTACCAGTTTCATTCCTGTATATCCAACTCCCCTAAAGAGAGGGGTACTTTAGGACAGGGTCCGGGTTCTGTTAAAGCTTTCCTGCTCCCTCCCTTGCCAGATCACGAAACAGCAATCAGGGAACATTGCTTTCAGACAGAAATGGAGCCGTGAGCTGTGTGTTCTCAACCAGCGTTAGGCCTTAGAACCATTTTGAGGAGAGAGTGTACTGGGCAGAGTCTTTGGGAAACACATATTCCTAAACCTTGCCCCTAGAGACTCATTCAGGAAGTATGAGGTAGAATCTAAGATTCTGTATTTCTTAAGCTCTCCAGGTGATTCTGATGTTTGCCCTGGCAAAGGATCACTGTGTTCTAAAGAGGCACGCATGCAGATCCATCTATGCGTGTATTCACTCATTCATTCATTCACCAAATATTTGTATGCCACTGCATCCTAGGCAAGGGGCTACTGGTGCTGGGGGTTCAGCATAGAAAAAGGAGGGTGGGTATAGCTCAAATGGTAGAGTACATGCTTAGCATGCACGAAGTCCTGGGTTTGGATCCCAGTACCTCCATTTAAAAACAAAACAAAACAAAACAATAAAACTAATAATAAATAAACAAATAGACCTAATGACCTCCTCCCCCCAAACAAACAAACAAAACAAAACAAAATAAAAAAGATGAATCCTTTCCCTCATGGAGCTTATGTAATAGACACATTCACATGGACACATACATGGACATAGGCGTGTCCATGCCAGTGGGCCACACAGGTCTGGAGCAGAATTAATTAGTACAAGCAGTTGCAGTTGTTTGTTCCAGAAGAGGCAGATGCTCTTGTGTTCTCTCTGCAGATCCTCAGCACTCTTGTAAAAGGGACATGTAGACCTGTGACCTGCAAGATTCGCATCCTGCCATCGGTAAGGATGGTGTGTTACATCTGAAGGTCCATTTTCTCTGGAGATGTAATACGGAGGTGTGAATGACTCTTGAGGGGCCGGAGAAGGTTTGGAGAAGAGGGTAGGGCTGAACCCACTCGAGGAGCTGGCAGCTACTCCCTCTGTGACTTCAGTAACCACCCTGTGTGGTCCCCTCCCTCAGCTGGAAGATACCCTGAACCTTGTGAAGCGGATAGAGAGGACTGGCATCGCTGCCATTGCTGTTCATGGGAGGTGAGTGGTTGCCTTTCTAGTGACCGACTTGCAGGGAAGTCCTCAGCCATCTTAATGTTTTTTTTATAAGACCCCAGGTGACTACCAACTTCTGTGTATGCAGCCTAGGTCCGCCTAGCTCTTTGACATCTTGTAAGTTCTCAGGAAGGTCATACCCTTTATGTGGTTGCATTTTCCTTTGTTTCATTCTTTGAGCATATACTGTGGTAGGCACTGCACCGAACTTTGGTGATATAAAGAGACCAAGAAGGAGGAGAAACACTTCTCCCTCAGGATGAGTGATTTGCTCAAAATTTTATGCAGTCAGGAAGTGGTGGAATTGGAGCTGAGTGTCATTTTCTTTCCACTACATTCAGCAATAGCTTCTCCCTCGAATGACCCCAGGCAGATTGCTGTTCTTTTAAAGACATTACCTATTTTATCTGCCCTTGTTGGACTGCCAGCTGTCACAATGACTAAACAGTCCTTGTATCTGTAGCTAATGAGCTCTTTATTAGGAGCTGAGGTGTTGCTGAAGCCTACCCTTGGTTTCCCAGCCAAACATGCTCCCTGTGTCCAGGATGTACTTTTGTACATAATCCCAGGTCAGCCGACTTTGGCCAGAGTGACTTCTCTTCTTAGTGATGTTCCTTTTGAGTTCAGGCATCTTGTTGGAACAGCCCATTTTTTGCTGGTTGTGTCTATTACAGCATTTTCAGAGAAGGGAACCCAGAACTCCAACATATAAAACAGAAAATCAGAGCTGTGTGTGTTGCAGTCAAATGCTCTACCACTGAGATCAGAGCTGTGTGTGTTGAAGCCAGTAGAAGGAGGTGAAAGGCCATGCATGTGTACACACATGCCCTTTCCTGAGACAGCAGGCTCTGGGCTCAGACTGCCTAGTTTCAAATCCCAGCTCTGCTGTTTGTTGGTTGTGTATCCTTGGACAACTCATTTGACCTCTTTGAGCATCATAGTCCTCATTTTAAGTCCTCAAATTAAGATAATTTCTGCTTTATTGGGTTGTCATGAGGCTCTTAATGAGGTTATAAGTTTACAGCCTTGGCATGGTGCCTGGCATATAGTGTTCTCTAAATAAATAAAGCTATTCCTTTTCCCCACTAGTTGGAAACACTAGGAAGACAGTTTTGGGTGAGTTTAAGGAGGGACTTTCTGGCCATCAAAGTTGTTGAGGATGGGCTAGCACTGGGCAGCTGGGGGTGTGGAGAGGTGGAGATGGAGGCTGGGGGTTGACCAGGCTTTCTAAGGCCTTGTGGCCCCTGACCCTTTTATTGAGGAGTTTAGCAGAGGGAACACACTCAGGCAGGACCTGGGTAAGGGCTGTCTGGGCGACCACCTCTCTTGCTTGTTCTGAGCACACCTCAGGTCAGGGCTTACCTCAGCATCCCTGAGACTCACTCACTCATACACAAGAACTCTTGCAGTTGACCGTGGAAGCAGGAGCCCCAGCTTGTGGTCCTGCCTCCCCTGTGGTTCTTCGTGACAGCCATGGTCTGTGGCCTGCCCTGGTTGCTGGGCCTACCCTATGCCAGGTGCTTCTCCCCAGAATCAGCTGCCCAACTTGGCCTCAGCACAGGCAGCTGTGTGGGAGTGGCCAGTCTGAGCTGCGGCAGCTGTTCCTAGTCCCTAGGGGAGGGCAAGACTGGGACAGTAGAGGCAGCATTCTTAAGACACTGTCTCTCATCTCTGGCAGAGGCGAGGGGAAGCCAGGGAATAGCAGTATGACCACCCACATCAGCCCCCTGCAGCCATGCCCCACATGCAGGCCTCCGAGGGCTGGACTTGCCTTCTCAGCATGAGTGCGTGTACTCTCAGAGGTCAGGGAGAGCCATCCCCTATAGCCCAGACCCCCATCCTTGCTGCTACATGGCCTTCCTGAGGTTCAGTAGGGAGGACAGTAGGGTTTGGCTAATGTGACCCTGTGCTAACTGTGACATGCCCTTTCACACCGAGCCCTCAGCCTTCTTTTTTCTGTCATCTCCAAGGAAGCGGGAGGAGCGACCTCAGCACCCTGTCAGCTGTGAAATCATCAAAGCCATCGCTGAAACCCTCTCCATTCCTGTCATAGCCAAGTAAGCCTTCCTTCCTCCTCATTTATTTTTTTATGCCTCATCTCACCCAGAAGGGATTTGAGGTGGCATATAGAAAATGGAATGAGATAGCATCAAAACATGACCCTAAAGGAGAAGAAAAAAAAGGGTGTGACAAAAAATGAAATTGGGAATGAGGCTGTGGAGTGCTTGTCATGTCTCTTGGCCTCTGGTGAGTGGCCACTGTAGGTATGTGGTAGGCAGTGGCCCAGGGTGTTTTGGTGGACTGGTTGAGGTGGGAGTGTTCAGGGAGAGCAGGAAAGTGACTGCTGAAACAGGCCCAGGAGAAGGCGATCACACCAGAGTCAGGTGGGCAGAGTGTGGGGTGAGAAGTCCCAAGCCAGAACACATAGAGCCATGGCTCAGGGAGCATGACGCAGGTCATGGTCCAAAGCCTGGATGAGCATTCTAGGCAGTGGCAGGACCAGGAACCTTGACTGGCAGGTGTGAGGTACCAATGACCAGCCTAAAGGCCATGCAGTGTCCTGTTGCCACTGGGGAGCTGGCCTGTGTAGGCCAGTTGGGAGTCCAGCTCAGCCTTGCATCTGCCTGATGGCAGGATGGGAACAAAGAAGTTCAGAAGCCCTGAAGCCCCAACAAAATGCATGCCTGGCTGGAGGAAGAGAGAGAGCTAAGGGTGGGGTGGTAGCCAGGCCTGGCCTTCCCCAGGCCAGGGAGTTTTAGGCGTGGCTTAGAGAGAGGACAGGGCTACTCAAGACCCTGGGCCCTGTTGCTACTGCTGCCACTTGAAGGGGGTGCCCCTCTACTCCCATCCCCACATGCAGTGCTGTCTCAGGATGGAGGCTGCTTCCCGGCTGCTAATGGAACAAAGACAGAGCAGTTTCCAAGGGGACCCTTGGGGCCACAGGGTGGCAGGAAGGGAAATTGCAACTAAACCGCGCCTCCTTCCTTCCTCTCATAACCACCACTGCGTCTGTTCCCTACCCAGGGTTTTGATCTAGCCGTTAGTGGGCATATAGGTGCCCAAGCCTGAGGATTTTCCTGTGATCCCAGTATGCATGACCCCTGTCCCTCAGATGTGGGCTGACTTTAGCCACTGTTCAGGATGAGGGGGAAGGAAGGTAAAATTTCCGGAGTACCTGTTAAGAGCCAGGCTTCTTGGTTTGGGCTGCTTGACTGTATTATCTCACTTGGTGCTTCTGACCCCATAGCGGGGTATGTGTTGTAATCTCCAGTCTCTCGAAGCTCTCATAGCTGAAGGACTTGGCCAAAGTCACTTAATGAGCAGCAGATCTGGGAGTTGCTTTCTTAAAATGCTAGTATGAGGATGGGGATACCAGGATGGGGATACCTCTCACCCCCCTGTTGCTTTTCAGTGGAGGATCTCACGACCACATCCAAGGGTTTTTGGATATAGAAGACTTTAGACAAGCCACGGCAGCCTCTTCAGTGATGGTGGCCCGAGCAGCCATGTGGAACCCATCCATTTTTCTCAAAGAGGGTCCACGGCCCTTGGAGGAGGTCATGCAGAAGTATATCAGATACGTATGTCTACGCAGTTTTTCAAAACAAAACATTTTCTCTGTCCGTCACATTCCTGCAGAAAGTGCTTTGGGTGAGCCCCCAGCCCCCAGCAGCCTGTGTCTATTTCCTTTTCTTTGTAGTTCTTGTAGTGTAGCATGGGTTCTCCCTGGCTGCAGTGTGAACAGAGAGGGTGCTGGGGAGTTGTGCCCCTACCACCACCCTCTTCTAAAGCTTCCAAGATGTGGGGGGTCATAGCAAGGACGTCTGGATCCCGGATGCTATTGGGGCCCCAAGCACATGATATTTTTCTTTTTCTCTCTCACATTTCTACCCCCTACACATACACACCCGTGCACAATGACAGTGGCGTCTGAGTCCCTGAAGACACTTGTGCCAATAGGTTGGCACTGGAGCACCCACAGCCAGGAGGAGCCATTGTAGCTGTTGTTGTTGAGGACAGATTCTCTCCGTAAAGACATGTCACCTGATCATCAGTCACAATCCCTTCTAAAACTCTTCTCTTGCTAATTCTTAGAGTACTTTAACTATGATCTTAGGAAGTAGCCTAACTTTAACCCTCTTTTCAGGCAATAGCTTTCTCTTCTCACTGGGAGCTTGATGATGGTGCCAGGGGCATTTCCCTGTAAGGGAGGGTTTTTTTGACACCTGTTCTATCCCCTTGGCACAACCCTGGAACTCTGTGATTAGCTGTGCATATCTATAGGCAGAGACAGTGAGTGGTCCTCAAATTCATCAGTGAGTTGGGCCTGAGAAGAGAGCTCAGCCCTCACCCAGAGCAGACGTACACCCTCCTCTTCAGTCCTGGAGCTCTCACCCACCTGAGGAGTCAGAAGCTTCTTAGATCCTCAGACTGCCTATGCCCCCTTCAAGCCATGTCCATGCCTGGGCAGTTGTGGCTGCCATGACATGTGGGTGTCTCCAAGGCTGTGTAAGCTGGGGATGGTCAGAGGCCCTGAGGTCTATGTCCAGAGCTGCGCAGCCTCTGTTCCAGAGCCTCCTCTGCTTGATGCTGCAGCCCTCATCCTCTTGGCTTAGGGTGTCCTGTTGGGCAGGTTGGTGACCACTGGGTTCTCCAATGATCTGGGTCAGCCAGAGGCACGGGAGGCTTGCCTCAGCCTAGATCAGCCGGCTGGCAAGTCTGTGGCAGAAAAGGCACGTTCAGTAGTGCCGAGCTTGCTCGCTGGGTGAAAGGTGATGTTATTATTCCTGCTCAAGCCCTCCCTTGGCAGCTCAAGAGGGTGTGTTGGGCCAGAGAAAGGGAGTGGCTTTTAAGCATAAGCAGGGCTGCTTCTGGTTCAGCCAGGTGCCTTCTGTCCCAAACAAGTCAAATCAAGGCCTTGCCGCTGGCCAGGGCTTACTCAGGTGTCCTTGCTTTTCCTGAGTGTGCCATGGCACCTCCAAAACACTGAAGACATAGGCCTAGATGAAGCATTAGAAGAGTGTAGGGGGTGAGGGGGGCAGGGGTTCTGGAGGGCTGGGGCACCCTTCACCCAGTGCTCTCCTGCCTGCCTCAGCCAGGTGGGCTTCATTGGGTATCCCTGGGCAGTCGTCCTGCCTCCCTGAGTCTGCATTTCCCAATCTGAGCAGTGGTAACAGCTGCATCTCACACTTGTCTAGCTCAGTGAAATGACAGGTAACACATGCGAACATGCTTGGTGATGGTGCTTTGCTTTTCCCATGAAGGGGGAAATTAGAGACAGGCTATTTAAGATAAGGAATAGAAGAGTCACACCCTTGTCCCAGGGCTGGTCCTGTCACAGCAGAATTTGGCTATTCCCCCTCCCCGCCTTCTAAGATGCTTGGCCGCAGGTCCTCTGTGGTAGCCAATGGTGGCTGAAGTAGGAGGAGCTTCCTACACATCTGGACCTTAGTCAGACTGTCCAGCAGGGTGTGCTCCTGACCGTGGGCCTCAGTATGACCCTCAAGCATTGTACCACTAACTGGAAGAGTAGGCGGCCAGGATGGAGATAGCTCTTTTATGGGGTCACACTGCCTCAGCCTCAGGGACACCTCTAATGCCCCCTCAGGGCCCTTTCTCTGCTATCAGAGCATAGCCCTGGCCTCAAAGCCTGCCCAGGCAGCAAGGGGGCTCATGACAGTTCTTCTCTCAGGCTGTGCAGTATGACAACCACTATACCAACACCAAGTACTGCTTGTGCCAGATGCTGCGAGAACAGCTGGAATCGCCCCAGGGAAGGTTGCTCCATGCTGCCCAGTCTTCCCGGGAAATCTGGTGAGAGGGGCAATGGGCTGCTTATCTGTCCTTGCAGACATTATCCAGACTTGACCCTGAGCCCTAAGCTGACTCTACCAAGGGACCCGGGACACAGCTCCTAGAGGTGGATGTGCTGGAGTGGGGAGGTGGAATGGCTTTGCCTCACAGAAGGAGGTTGGACTTAAAGCTTTAGAACTTTCTAGCCCTGGATTGATCTCGGGGGCATAATTTTGGGAACTAGAGCACTAGCAGGATGGAGGAATGTGAGGGCTGAGCTTGGGAATTCCTGGGGAAGAAGGGGCTTTCCTAGTAACAGATATGTCACATGCCAGGCCACCAAGATCCAAAGGTTAGGAGAGTTGGGTTTGTAGAATGGAGCCCCCGGCCTAAGCCTGCACCCAAACCGCATCATTCTGCAGTCTGAGAAGCCACCCCTTGGTCCTCTAGATCTGGTAGAGTTCCAGCTCAGTGGTTGACATCTGGGGCCCCTCACAACCTGGCCTCATGCCTGTTCTCACAGCTCCCTGTTGACCTGTGCTTGTACTGGGTCTCCTGCCTGAATGCTGTCTCCCCCCAAAGTTGGCTGTCTATGTCCTCTCTCCTCCAGAGAAGCCTTTCTGAACCATGCTCGCCCTCAGGCATCCATCTTCATGAATATCCTCCAGCCCTCAAGATGCTTCCTAGAAGGGAAGAGCCTTGCCAGAACCTTCCTCCCCACCTTGGGCCTGTGGTGTTCATTCTGTCCCTACCCTACATAGCTTAACCAGCTTGACTCAGGTATCTTGTGAGCTCAAGAGGGTGACTCTCAAGAGTAGCTCTCTGTAGCTCTGGGTGTTACCTCAGTTTAGGCTTGGCCTGTTTGTGGCCAGGACAGGAAGTGGGGAACCAGTCAGTGGTCAGGCCTCTGTGTCTTCCTCCCATGGGTGCGCATGAGGGTGAGGCCATGTATACCCCTGTGCTTGGTCAGTGTAGGTCAACTTACTCACCACTGGCTGGAGACTCCTGCCTGTGGGTTCTTCCCCAGAAGAGAGGCTTGGCTTAGGTGGTGAGGTGACCTTTAGAATCTTTTCCACCCAGCCCAGCCACCCCTCTAGTGCTCACCTTCAGGAGCCCCACCCAGCCCAGCCACCCCTCTAGTGCTCACCTTCAGGAGCCCACATTCACTCTCCATCTGTCAGTTCAAGCTGATCCCAGGGATGGGTAGGAAGCACCTTCTGACGGCTAGGCCCTGGTGGTGGTCTGGTGTGTGGGGGGGCATTTCTCAGTGGTGGGGCCCTGGGCTATTCAATAGTTTCCTGAATGCTGGCTCCACTAAGAGGCTTGCTGTCCTTTGCCTGTCCCTTCATAGTGAGGCCTTTGGCCTTGGTGCCTTCTACGAAGAGACCACAAGAGAGCTGGATACTCGACGGGCCAAGCTCTTGGCCAGGAGCCCAGAGGAGCCAGCTGAAGACACCTCTGGTGTCATTAAGATGGCTGTCAAGTTTGACAGGTAGGTCTCCAGCTTGGCCTTGGCTTGGGCCAGGGGCAGTACCCTCCTGTCTGATTGGGCCAGCAAGCTGGTTGCTGTACATGGTTAATGCTAAGCTTGGGGACCACAGGTCTCCTTGGTTGGACACTTGTTCTTAATTTTCGGCAATCCAAAGAAGGCACTGTAGAGAAGATAGTCCCTGAAAGCCCAGGCAGTGCTGTCAGGGGTGTGCATGTTGTTCCAAGGGTGACTGGACACCTTTTTACTGACCCGTCCCCTTCCACAACTCAGGCTGGGGGGACTTCTTCCATTCCTGAAAGTCTGTGCTTTTTCCCCTCCTTTCCCCAGTTTCCTGAGGAACTAGATGCCTATAAGGAGCTCCCCAATAGCAACAGGACCCTAACCCTCACGGGTCTGGCTGAGAAACCTACCCTCACTGCCCTTCTCTAGCCCTGTGGTGCCCTCTCTAGGCAGAAGTAGCCTCAGGCCACTTATTGCCTCAGACTGTGACTTAGCTTTGAATGAGGCCCTCATCCTTGTCCTCTGCAATCTAGGATCTGAGCCTTTCTTGGTCCCCAGGCTCAGACCGGTAGTCAGTTTTGTCTGGCAAGGACTTGGGAGGAGGGAGGTGGATACAGCTGGGTTGGGAAGTCATATCCAGGGAGAGCTCCTGGTGGGAAGCTGGAACATGGCACTTCCCACCCTGTCACTGACTGACTGCCACCAGAGTCCACTGTGTCCAGGGAAGCAGCTGATCATCCTGACACTCAGCAGACAGAGTCAGGATGGGCGCTGAGCTAGATCCTGAGACCATTGTGTGGCCACCTATGTTCTCCACCCCCACCCACTCCCTCCTCATCTTGTCTTGAGAGGCAAACTGGACCTTTCTTCTTGGCTGTTGAAGGCTGTTTTCCAAGCTGGACCTCAGAATTCCTAGAGTTCATTTCCCATCCCAATTCCCCAAGCAGCTGGAGCCCATCTTCCCTTTAGATAGAACCCATGCCCCAAGCCACTGGTGGGGCAGAAATGGGAGCTCGGGGAAATAGGTACAGGAGACTTAAGGCAGCAGTGTGATGTCTCAGTTCCTGCAGCTCCTACCAGGAACTGAGTAGGGCTCCTGCTGAGGAATGGAATGGTGTTAGTAGGTGGGCCCTGACTCCTTCCCCTTCTTTCCCCAGGAGAGCATACTCACCACAGATCACCCCCAAGATGTGCCTGCTGGAATGGTGCCGGAGGGAGAAGTTGGCACAGCCTGTGTATGAAACGGTGAGACCCTAGCTGTGGCCTGCCTTTCATCCAGCCCATGACACTCCCACAGCTGGTGCCATCACCCCCAGCACACCCAGAGCTCGTACCTGAACTCCAAACTGCTTGGCTGGAGCCTGGCTCTGCCCTCTGTGGGCCGGTAACAGTTGCTGGTGACTGGGCCAGTTGCTGTTAGCTCCTTCCCTTTGACAGTGGGTCTGTTGTCTAGTTCAGGCCACTTTCATAAAACTAAACCAGAGACCAAACAAAAGGGCTGCTTGGGCCAGTCCCTTCCAGTGGCATTGCTTAGGTAAGGGAGACGTCTCTAGGAAAGGCCAATTAGCTTAGGAAGGATGCTCAAACCTAAGTCAGACTGACATACTTTTGGACCACCCAATTCTGTGCCCCATATCTGGGCCCCTCAGTGGAAACTTTGAGGCCGTATTGCTTCACTTTCTTGGGTCCTGATGATCATGCCTGTTTAGGTTGCTCTGTCTCTTCTGGACTGGCCTTCTGACCTCCAAGCTTGTACCTTCTGGGCCTGTGTTCCCCTTTGCCAGAGTGACTTTTCCAAAACAAAATCTGACCTCTGTCTCCCGTGTTCAAGTCCTCATCAGCTCCCGAGTGCCTTTGGGATCAAGCCCTACTACCTCAGCACAGAGCATGAGACCCCCATGTGTCTTTCAACTTCAGGTCTCATCTGCTCAGCTCTCTGTCCGCCACATCACCTGGTCGTCTTGCCAGGTGTACCTTCTTTGCTCCAGTCCTTGTCCCCTCTCACCCCTTTACCATCTGGTGAACTCATCTGGGGGAACTTGGCCCATCCAAATGTCAATAGGAGGAAACTCCACAGTCCCACGCAGCTAAGGCCTCTAATGGCCCTTTGCTTAAGTCTATGACAGAACTCCTGACACACTGGGATGTCACTGTCTGTTTGTGTGTCTGGCTTTCTTCCCTGGAATATGCACCAGGCACTTCTGCTGGGGAGGAACATGTGATACAGGTAGCCTTCATGTGACTTAGGTGGGAAGTACTTCATTTCATTTGCCTTTGTCATGACCCTGGCAGATGAGCCTCTAGGGCTTATTCCCCCTGCCCTCATGTGGACATCCCTGTGCCTTTGCTCTCTCTGCACCAGGTTCAACGTCCCCTGGATCGCCTCTTCTGTTCTGTTGTCACTGTTGCTGAACAAAAGTACCAGTCCACCTTGTGGTGAGTTTCCCATCAGTGGGCATGAGGCTTGGGGTGGGGGGCCTGATCCCAGCATGGCCTAGGAGGGTCGGGGGGATGGTATATCTGAGCAGTGGCATCCCTGGCAACCCCTTCCTCAGTTTTGTCAGAATCTTTGCCAAGGGTATGTAGAGTCAGGCCTCTCAGCCTCTAGGCCTGTAACCAGTCTGCCTGCCTCCCTGCCTTATTGCTCCATGCCTCGTCTGCCCAGGGACAAGTCCAAGAAACTGGCGGAGCAGGCTGCAGCCATCGTCTGTCTGCGGAGCCAGGGCCTCCCTGAGGGTCGGCTGGGTGAGGAGAGCCCCTCCTTGCACAAGCGCAAGCGGGAGGCCCCTGACCAAGACCCTGGGAACTTCAGAGCTCAGGAGCCAGCCAGGCCTGGGGAGCTGTGCAAGAAGCCCTTTGTAGCCTTGGCAAGTGGTAAAGAGAGCCCACTGGAAGGCTGGTGACCACTGTCCCTATCCTGGTCTCTCCCTCCCTGGGCCTGGCCCTAAGATGGCTGTGGGTGCAAAGCATCAATCAGATGCCATTGGACAATTTGCTGCCCCTGCTTGGCAGGAATTAAGAGGTTCTGGCCTGGGCCATCAGCCTAGAGCATGGGCCAAGGGGTGCCCAGAGTGCCCATCTCCCTTGGTAGGTCTGAATAGCATGGCCAAGTTCCCGGCAACCTCAATATTTTCTTTGAAAACAGGAGCTTTTCAGGTAGCACCTCCCCAACCTGACATTGGTCCAGTGCAATAAAGACACCTCCACCCTTACCCATGGCTGGCTGCTTCAGCCTTGGCATCTTCACACATGGACTGATGTCCTGGCATAATTATTCTACTCCCACCCTCTGTGCAAACTGGGGCTTCCTAAAGCATTTCTTCTTCCCATCTTTGTGAGTCTAGATGGAGGTGGGAGATGGGTATCACCTTTAATGCTCACTGGATTTGAGTTGAGCCAGGAGAGCCCAAGAAGCCTGTTCTACTGATGGTAAACCCAAGGCACTGGCCCTCAAATGGCTTTCCTGATGGGAAGTGACATGGAATTTGGGGAGCCAGCAAGGGACCAGCTCAGGCAAGTAGTGGGTACTGGGTCCAGCTGGCTGGAGCTCAGACCTATGAGGTGCCTGCTCTGGGCAGAGGATACTGGAGACTGCTGATGACAGCAATTTGGGGCTCTTGTAATTACCCGCCCACGCCCCTTTCCCCCCACCTTCTGCCCCCACCATCCCGTTTGGGCCGGAAGGAAGTGGCAGATTCTCTTTAATTTCCTCCTGGCAGTGAGAAGCAAACAAACTACCACATCTTGTGGGGCCTCCCCCGCTTACTGGGAGGGGCATTCTGACCAAAGGTCCCTGCCCAGCACCGCCCCTGCTTCCTCAGCTGTAAACAGGCTGCTTCTCCTCCTCTTTTCAAAGCTCTGCGGGGAGGGGGGATTCCCCTCTGGGCCAAGGCCATGTTCCTCCTATCTCCTCAGGGTCAAGCCCCGGTGCCACAGCACCCCTGGCCCTGTTGACCTGAGTCAAGAGTTGGGTGGGTGAGGCCCCTGAGCTCAGTCCCAGAGCTGCCCCTCCCTACACCCACACTTGCTCTTCTGAATGCAGGTATAGTACCAGTGGCTTCTCGGAACTCATCACTGTCTGACCTTAGGCAAGTCACTTCTAGTCCTTGCTGGGCCCAAGGGCTCTTCTCTGATAGTGGGATCAGCTGTTCTCTCCCTGCTTGAGGGTGTCTGGAGGATAAACAGGCTAGTCCTGTGATAGGGCACTATGCAGCGCATGGGGTCACTCCATACCAAAGCTGCCCTAACTAACTTCCCAGACCACTGTTCCCAGAGAAGGGGCCCCATCCAGGAGAGAGACTGAGACATGGTCCAGTCTCAGCCATTAAGCTTTTATTTCTGATTTCTCTTGCAAAAAACTGTTTTAATCAAAATGTCCCCGTTGTCTTTCCTCATACATCAAGTGAAACAGGACAGCCAGAGAGGCCCCAGTGGACCCCTCCGGCATCCTGAGTTAGTCAGAGCTGGTTGGAAGACCCTGTCTCTGTGGGCCAGGTAACAACTGTTAAGATCCACTTCCCCAGTGGGGTTGGGCTCTGTCCTCAGCCCTCTTCTTCCACCAATGTGATTTCCCTGGGGAAGCCCCTTCTCTGGAGGGGTTAGGTTCATTTGTGGACAATGGGGAAGGAGAGGCAGGGGTAGTGATAAGCTGCTAAGATAGAGGCTAGAGTGTGGGGACTTTGAGGGCCCAGGAAAAGTACTGGGGAGAAGGTCATTCACAGGGGAGCAGGTAGGATGGGGCTAGTGTGTGTTCCTTGACTGAGGATGTTTGGCAAAATCCTGGTTGAATGTGTTGGACCTCAAATGGTCTCACTTTAGCACACCTCAGTGACGCCTACCCTGGTCTCAGAGTGACCTGCCTAAGACCTGGGACCAATTGGAAGGACCCAGTTAAGTCTGAAAGCTCCATCCACTGTTCTTACCTTGCCCACTTTAAACTAAGGCCACATGGATGCCCAAACCCCTCTCTGGATTAGTGGCCACCACACTTACCCATCCATTCCAGCCACCTTGATTGAGGACTTCCTCTTGGCTCATCACATTTTGGGGACAAATGGTTTTGGTATGAGCACAGAGGAAGGGATAAGCCTGGAGAAATCTTCCGAAGGCCACAGCAAGCAGAATGGACTTGGTGCACAGATGAGTAGGGAATCTTTTACCCCTGCAGTCCTGCATGCTCAGTTCCTTCCAGGTGTCACTCTGACTCAGAATTCTTCCATGGCTCTCCATTGCACTCTGGATCTGGTCCAAACTCCTCAGCCTAGCATTTGAGGACAAAGTGCTGACCCTGTCTTCCTGACACCCTGTACTGACTTCAGCAACTAACTTTCTTCGATTGTAGTTGGCTGGTCTTATCTCCTTCGCCCACAGTCCCTGTGTCCCCTCTGGCCAGCGTGGGCATGGGGGTGGGGAGCAGGCACAGAAGAAAAATCAAACAAGAGCTTGTTGGGGTGGGGGGCATGTGTGGCGTGGAAAGGAAGAACTTTCTTAACTCTGACTTTCCTCCAAGGCTCCTATTTCCCTTAACATGGAACAAGGCAGTTGGACTGAGCTAAGCTATATCATCCCTTGGCTCAGAGGCCACAGGAGAGCCTTCAACAATGGGGGCTCAGGGCCAGGCCTGTGGTAGATGAAAGTGTTGGTTTTCCCTCAATCTCAGGCCTGGCTGGCATTCACACAGGAGGGAGAGGGTGTACGGGGATCCACACAGTCCTTGTCCACCAGCCTGGCCCAATCTGGGTTTCTATCTATTGCACTGGGTTCTTGGGCCTCCTGGTTTCACAGGGCTATTAGAAGGCCAGAAGTGGGTCAGATGGCAGCTGAGAGAGCTTTGGAGATGGCCTGAGGAACAGCTCATTGGGGAGGGCCTGGCCCTAGCTAAGGAAAAGGGGTGGAGAGAGTTCATGTATTGAAGTGTGAGGGAAGGCAGGCCTTCATCACAGCCTGCTCCCAGCTGTTTCTGCCTTTCTTACAAAGGTGGCGACACTCTTCCTGCGGTTGGTGCCCACCCCTGCCCCAGCCTTCATCACTCCAGGTTAGGGTTCTCAGTTATCTCCAGAGCAGAAACCTTCCCCAAGACACATCCCCTTTTAAGCATTCTCCAGGTGCACAGTGGTTGGGAACACAGATGCATTGCTGAGCATTTGATGAATGGGTGAGTTTTTCAAGCCATCTAGCTTCTGTGGTCCCTTCCCAGTGGTGGGCTGACAGGCCCAGGGTCTCCTTCTTGCCTTCCCCGTGGCCTGGCTGGCCTGAACCTCTGGTTCAGGTAGTCATGTCTGGAGGGCAGAGCGGTTAGATTTTCTCAATCCAGATGGTAACCTGGGAAGTATATGTGTGGGGGCAGGGAGACACATCCTGAAACTGCATTGTTTTATGAGGAGGGGGAGGTGAGCTAGCCAAGCTTCTGGGGCCTTTTACTATATTAAGTGTCATGTTACATGTAGTACTAGTTGGCAGACCAGCCATCTGCCTGGGGCAGAAGGCTGCAAAGTTACTGTGATGTTTCGGCTTTAAATTCCACATTTAGGCCCTCAAGGTCAGAGATCCTTTGAAGGTTGGCCAGCTTACTGAAAGGATGTTTCATCCACCTAATGCCATTTGCTTCCTCTCCTTAACTGCTATTATCTTCTCCTGCCTCTAACCTTCTACTCCTCCACTCCAATCCAGTGTTTCATCCAGAAATCTGAACATGTAAGTCTCCAGCTCTAAACCCTTTTGTGGCTCCCTACTGCCCTCAGGATAAAGTCCAAATACCTTGCTGTGGGCTGCAGCACTCTGCCCATTCATCTAGCCTTACCTTTGGCTTCTGTTCACTGCATGTAACTTTCTGGTCTCCAAGTCTTTGGAAACCTGTTCTCTGCCTGGAACCATCTTTCTCATTTCTTGCCTATTTTTCCAGTTCCTAGTTAGCCCTGTAGACACCTACAGCCAGGGGGATTAAGAACTTTCTTTGAGCTCTTGGCATAGCCCTAATCTATTTGCACAATGATTATAGATTTGCTGGCCTCCTCTCTCTGAAGCCTGAAGGGAGATTAATTTATCTCTGCGTCCCCAGGTCTAGCACAGGTATGGGTACAGACCACAGGGCAGGAAAAGTTTTCTGACCTCAGGAATGAACCAATCCAAGATAAATGTCTCAAAAAAAAAAAAAAGAAAGATAAACATCTCAGCTTCTCTGGACGTTCCCTCCTCCTGACCCTAGCCCTAGTTGGGCTCTCCCTAGGGCCCCCTGGGAGTTCAGGTTGTCAGTCCAGATACTGAGACATCTCAGCAGGATGCACCACCTTGCCCTCTTCTCCCGGGGGCTTTCGTGGGCAGTGTGGGATGTGACTGGGCCCTTGCACCTGCACCCAAGGTTCTGAGACATAGCACCCTGGTTCCTGTGGCAGCTTACTTCTAGGGATGCTATGTCATTTGGGGCCTGGAGCTAGGGGAGTTGGTCACCAGCATCTCTCCCAGCTGTTGGTCCATCCTGTGCCTTGGAGGAACCCTGTGTAAACAAGCCAGGCTCAGTGTCTCTGGGCAGGGCCTCTACCCCAGGTCCCAGAAGGTGTCCTTGGTCCGCTCTGGGGAAGATGGGGAAGACAGGTCCTCTGGGGAGAGGCCAAAAGCGAAAACTGTCTTCAGACACAGTGTCACTTCCTTCCCACTATCAGCCACTCAGTTTGGGTATCACATCCCTCCCATTCTTTCATTGTGCCTCGGGATGCAGAGGTCACAGAGCCCTTTGAGTGGCTCGAATTCACGACGGGCTTTCCCAATTCAGTCTTCCTGATTTCCAGCAGGCGACAGACCCTGCTCATCGGGCTTTGCAGAGGCCTCAAATACGAAGGCTGTCCTCGAGGGAAAAGCTGCCAGGCAGGCTCCTGGGGGCAGACGAAGGCTCAGCCAGATAAGTGCGGGCTCTGCCTATCAGGGGTGGGTTTGAAGCGACAGGTAGCCCAGACTTGGATCTTGTCCCGCCACCAAAGTCTTCACTGGCTCCGCTCCACCTTAGCTGGAAGCGCAATCCAGTCCCCGCCCTCTTGGCACTCCGCCATTAAGGTTGAGGTGAAGGGATGAGGGTGTGAGGGGCGTCCATATATTCCTTCCGGACGCTAATTTCCCCAAACCTAGCCAGCAGGAGTAACAATGCAGGCACCCGTCACCGGACCCATAACCTCAAAGCTCTGGCGCACCTTCCCGGACGTGGGGTCCGTCCAATAAGAAAAGGAGTCTCCGATTGGCCGTGGTGGCCCCTTCAATCCAATTTAAGGGCAATCCCACACCCCGGTCCCGGGTCCTGGTTTAGGAGTCGAGATAATAGAGCCCAAACTACAACTCCCAAGAGGTAGCAGGGCTAGCCAGCTATACGTATTCACGTGACTTCCGTCTCCGCGAGAGGGAATCACGCGGTACACGGGTGAGAGGGCGGGGGCATCGGGCTAGCCCGCGGCGCCGGTGGCCTATGGGCTGCCGGGTCAGATGGGCGC